TTGAGTCCGTTTCTATAGCAATGCTTGTTAGAACAACAGGGGCAGATATAACGGTCAGCGTTTTAGTTGCTTTAAAACTATTTCCATTTTCAGTGTAAGTCACTGTAATTTGTGCATCTCCCTCACTTACTCCAGTCAAAGTCCCGTCTTGTGAAATTTTTAAAATGTCGTCGTTTGAAGAAGTCAATGTGACGCTTGAGACTCCCAAAGTCAATGGACGATGATATGGTTCTAGATACACTTTCGCGGTAGCAGAAGTTCCTTTGACGAGTTGTGAGGTATTAAGACCTTCAACCTCAAGAACTACACTTGTTGTGACGACTTCGGTATACACAGTGAACTCTTTGGTAGCTTCAAATGTGTTCCCAGACTCAACATAAACACACTTGATTAAAGCAGTTCCCTCAGCAAGAGCAGTGATAACACCTGACGACGAAATCGATAAAATATTATTTGATAGTGATGACCAGTTAACTGCTGTGTTGCTGATAACTTCTTTTTGGGGAATCGACTTTGCAGTGAGTCGTAGTGACTCTCCAATTTTGACATGAGTCGTTTCACTATAAATTTCTATTCCTGTTGTAGCAAAAATTTCAACTTGAAAAGCTTCATAAATTGGCTTCGAGTCGACTGTCATAATAATTTCAGTTTTCCCAACGCGTTGAGGAGTGAGTACCCCGTTTTCATCTACAGTAACAATAGATGGGTCAGAGCTTTTAAAGACGATAGAAGTACTTGGATAGATCTTGGGAAGTATACTCGGGTGGATCTTAAAGTCGGTCTTTTTGATATCCAAGGTTTTAGTCTTGATGTCTAAACACATTTGTTCTTCGGTAGAACCTTTAGCAGTGGATAGATTTATTGCTAGTAATACAATGAATATGAGGTGTGGCACCATCATTTAATACAAATTATTTAATGAAATTAAAAGTGTTTAATAGTATGCAAACAATCAATCTATTTCATGTTATGAATGGAACATAATTACTTTTTGATTGTTTTATTACAAACATTGTCCCAAAAATACATTTAAAAATAAACACATGAAAAAAATCAATGGTTTTTGGACTGGTTGAATATTTTTTTTACTTCACAAAGAAATAAGTTATAATAAAATAAACTATAATTATAATTGTTGACATTTTATTTTGATTAATAATCAATATCTATGTTTTAAATTAATATCCAGTTTTGTTTACTATTGTATTTATAGTAACTATTATTTACCAAGAAATTGGTTTTGCCAATTTTTTATGACTATTGAAACAAATAAGTTATTATTTTATTTATAAAAATATTATTTATTATTTTGTAATTATTGAAGGGGTTTTCATTAATTAAGATAAATCAAATTGTTGAAACCACTTTCATTGATAAAATTAACTGGAGACCCGTCATAAAGTGACGAACCCAATTACAGTATGGACATTCTGCCTTATGCAAAACTTTACCTTATGAAGGATTTTATTATTTAATTTTAATAAAACAAAACCATTTTAATGGTTAAAAAAATTCAATTATAAAAATACCAGACACACTTTCTTATGCAAAAATCTATTTTGAGGTTGTTTTTGGGTAATTGTGAACAAGAAAACCAGAACTTTAAATTAAATAAATTAATGTTTAAAGTCTCTACACCACGACTTTAGCCATCGTAAAGAGAAATTCCCGATACCGGTTTGTATTTTTTTGTTTTGTAAATGGTATATGATACTTACTACCACCTTGTCTCGTC